GCTGCCATATATGCCAGGTTATCAAAGTAGATAATCCATATCATCTGCTTTAAACTGGATTATATGAGTCTACACTGCCAGATAATCCAGTTCAAAGCAGATAATCTGGATTTTATATGGCAGTGTAGAAAGGGCTTTCAAGAGAAAAGTATCAGACCTTGACTCCCAGGAGGTCTTGTGGAGAGTCCCCTCTCTTTTCTACGCATACTTGGAGAGAGCACTCCTGGCCCTTTTCCCCTTCAACTGCGCATTTCAAATGGATCTTAGCATTTCATGGCCCTTAAACATTTCTTTTTATCTCTTCTCTCATTTATTTGAGACAGGGCCCTGTCAATTAAAACTATGTTAGTCTTTAGACCCCTGCAAGAAACTTTGTTCTGAAATTATTACTTATTACTCCAAAAGAGGGAGAAGGAGAAAGAAGGAAGGAAAGAAATGCAAGATTAATTGGTGGCATTGTTGTTTGCCTTCGAACCATTTCCGACTTATGACCTCCCTAAGATGAACCTATCACGTGGTTTTCACTGCAAAATTTGTTCAGAGGGGGGTTGTCATTGGGTTGTTGTAGGTTTTTCCGGGCTATATGGTCATGTTCTAGAGGCATTTTCTCCTGACGTTTCGCCTGCATCTATGGCAAGCATCCTCAGACTTTGAAATTGAAACACACAAGAGAATCACAAATGAAAACATTCTTTTCCTTCCTCCTCCTCTTCGCAAATACGATCATATACTTTGCACTGTGAATGTCCAGATTAATTCACAGTTTCCCAAAATGATTATTAAGGAGCCCACTTGCTGTCGAACGCTTTCATCGCTGGAATCACTGGATTGTTGTAGGTTTTTCGGGCTATATGGCCATGTTCTAGAAGCATTTTCTCCTGACGTTTCGCCTGCATCTATGGCAAGCATCCTCAGAGGTAGTGAGGGGTTGTCATTGTTTCCTCTGAAGCTGAGAGAGTTCAATTTGGCCAAAGCCATTCAGTGGGTTTCCATAGATTTCAGTCTTACCTCTCAAAATCCTAAGCTAACAACTATACCAAACTGGCTCTAGGTGAAATGTCAGTGTATGAAGTTCAGTGCAAATGTTGATGAAGCTTGAAAATAGCAGGAGAAAAAGTGAACTCTGCACATGAGATGCATGCATAATATTTAACAAAAAATATTTCTTGGGACAACAGAAAAACAGAGGCTATGATTCAAAGCATCTCACACCTGTGCCTCTTCCATTGGCAATACCTTGTTCTCTACCTAAAGAAATCTCAAGGACCATGTCATCAAAAAAAAAAGGTACATACTGACATTTCTGTCCAAAGTGTTTTATTTATGTCCCCAGCATCCCAGATCTCAGCTACTGGTTCAGACCTCATTTCAAGAAACTCTGAGATACCGAAACAGGAATTAAAGCTTTTTGCAGATTTTCCCCCCGGAATTGATTTGTGTTGAAATGTATAAATATTTGTTTCTTATTTATATAAAAGCACCATGAGTTTATGTTTCATGCACAATCTGTTTACTAATACACGGCAGGCTGTTGCTTTTGAAGCCCAGAAAGCCAAAGATAGAGCTAGTCTCATCTTGTTTAATATATCTTTTACAGTCAAAAAGATCTATTTATCTTACTTCTGGGTAAACTGGGCGCCTCTCTTTAGGGCAGTGGTTCTCAACCTGTGGGTCCCCAGATGTTTTGGCCTTCAACCCTCAGAAATCCTAACAGCTGGATGGAATTTCTGCGAGTTGTAGGCCAAAACATCTGGGGATCCACAGGTTGAGAACCACTGATCTAGGGACTGACCAAGCTCTATAAAACAATCGAGCACCATAACCAATTAACATCCTCACATTTATAATTTAATGGGGAAAATTCACCAGCAAGAATGAGATATATGCAGCTTGAGTCCCTGAGGTTTTATGTCCTCTGTGGGATCCCAACCTGAGGGGTGGTCCATTCATCCTCATGGGGAAAGGCGGGGTTTGTAAGTATTGGATTTATATGGTTAGTTGAATGAATGAATGAATGAATGAATGAATGAATGAATGAATGAGGCAGCCATTCACTTACAACATGCTGCACATGGTTGGGACCTAAATCTGTTCTCCTGCCTCTTGGAGTCTCCTGTCTGAGTCTCCCTGTCTGGTGGTATGTGACAGGAACTGGACAAGAGGTCTACCTACAGCCTTTCAGGGCCTATTGTTCTGTTATTCAGTCTACATTTGCTCTTGCTTTCCCTCCAAGATCAGTTCAGTTGTTGAGGCTTACCATTTTTAAAGTTCCGAATGATTTGGTGTTGGGATAGATATAGCAAAATCAATGTATTTCCCACTACTAGCACTCAAAGGCAGTACTTGGGTTGCTTGCCATAGATGCAGGTGAAACGTCAGGAGAGAATGCTTCTAGAACATGGTCATATAGCCTGAAAAACCTACAACAACCCAGTGATTCCAGCCATGAAAGCATTCGACAGCAAGTGGGTTCCTTAATAATCATTTTGGGAAACTGAATTAATCTGGACATTCACAATGCAAAGTATATTATCGTATTTGCGAAGAAGAGGAGGAAGGAAAAGAATGTTTTCATTTGTGATTCTCGTGTGTGTTTCAATTTCAAAGTCTTGAGAAGTGGAGAAGGCTGGGAAGTTATTTACTTGAAGGACTGCAGTATTTTGTCTCTCTGAGGATAATGTTTTGACTACACAATTTCTCCTGACTCTTCTTTCTCCGTATTTGCACTGTAGGAAGGTATCTTTGTTTCCTTTGGGGAAAAGAAAATGTATCTATTAAGAAGAACCAAATTATTTTATCTAATGATTGAATATAGGCAGAAATCAGCTAAAATTTGTTCATGACATCATACCATACATATTGCCTACAGGCATTCACTTTTCTTAGATCTCAGATAGGGGTTTTTTTAAGGACATTTGAGTGTATGTATTTTATTTCAGTTACTTCCCAAGAACTGTTACACATATCTCTACCATAAAGAACATTTCATTAACTGGTTTGTTTATTTATTGTGTCAGAAGCAAATTGAGAATACAGTTATAACGTATTTTTTTAAAAACCACAAGCAAAGTTTTTTAAAAAACTTGGCATTATGCTAAATTTTCTTTGACCAGAAGATGGCCACTTGGAGTGCCTCTGGTGTCACTATAAGAAGGTCCTCCTCCATTGTGCATGTGGCAGGGCTCAGGCTGCATTGTAATAGGTGGTCTGTGGTTTGCTCTTCTCTGCATTCGCAAATGGGACTACTTAGTTCTCTCCATCATTATGTTGTACTGCAGAAGCCTACCAGTCTTCAGTTTAAGAGGGAAATTAAGATGGACATAAATTTGGGGCCAGTTTGTTACTCTTATGAATTTGCTAAAATCTGCAAAATCTATATTACGTACCATACGTCTCAGTCTCTTCCAACTGCTTTACTTTTATTGAGGTTTATTGATACCAACATACAATTGTAGTCACTTTATCGTGGCATTTATTTTGTTCTGTATTTATAATCTTGCTGCATGAACTGATAAGGAGTTTAACAGTTTCATCTTTTTATTTCCATAGGGCATGTACTAGTCATAGTTTTGTTACCATTTGCCACTTTGTAGTCCCATTTCTTAAGGTTAGCTCTGCATCTCGTCGTGCCAGAGCACAGCCTGTTCAGCACCTTCCAAGTCTCCCAGTCTTCTATGTGCTCAGGAGGGAGTTTCTCATCCAGTATCGCCCACTGATTGAGGTTCTGGGTTTCAACCTGCCACTTTTGGACTCTCACTTGCTGTGGTGTTCCTGCGAGTATCTCTGTAGATCTGAAAGCTATTTCTTGATTTAAGGCATTGTCTTGCTGGCAGATATCCAAACAGGGCATGGGCCAGAGATGTCACTGCTTTGGTCCTTTCATTATTGGCTGCTACTTCCCCACGGATGTCAGGTGATGCCATACCAGCTAAACAGTATAATTTCTCCAGTGGTGTAGGGCATAGATATCCTGTGATAACACGGCATGTCTCATAACTGACAAAGAAGTTTAAAATCAGTCCAAAAAATGGTATCAAAGATCTGCATTCTGTCTCAGATATTTCTTTGTTATCATTTAAGATAGGTAAGTCCAATCGTGTCCAACTCTGGGGGTTGGTGCGCATCTCAATTTCTAAGCCGAAGAGCTGGCGTTGTCTGTAGGACACCTCCAAGGTCATGTAGCTGGCATGACTGCATGGGGCACCATTACCTTCCCACCGGAGCAGTACCTATTGATCTACTCATATTTGCATGTTTTTGAACTGCTAGGTTGACAGAAGCTGGGGCTGGCAGCAGGAGCTCACCCTGCCCCCTGGATTTGAACCTGCGACCTTTTGGTCAACAAGTTCAGCAGCTCTGTGCTTTAACCCACTGCGCCACCGGGGGCTCCTTGTCATTTAACATAGAATTGGAAAATTTCAGGGCAGGCAGAAGCAACTCCTCTCTTTTGCCATGAGAGGGTTAGGGATAAAAGGCAGTGATAGACAGGCACCAGATCTGCTCTGATTTTGAAAGCTAAGCAGGGTCAGACTCAGATGGAAGACCGCTAATGGATTCCAGGTGCTGTATGTTATGTTCCATAGGAAGTAACTGGCAAAACCACTTCTAAATATTCCTTGCTTAAGGAAATCCTATGAACTTCATGGGGTTACAATAAGATGAAAAAGGCAACTTGAAAGCAGACATACAACGAAAAGTAATTTCCTTTGAGATCCAGTTGTCCCCATTTTGTGGGAAGTTAACTGCCTCCTTTTTTGTCATCTTTTTGTCCACTTATATTTTTTAAAACATCTTTGTCTGACATACAAATCACAAATGTTTTGGAAGCTTACATAATTCATTTTTGCTGTGAAGTTTGCCAGATAAGAGTTATCACTGCTTTGTGGATTTTGTTGTGTTTTGCTGCATTCTAACATGTCTATCCCTGAATATGTTTTCAAGAATCAAAGTGACTCCTTATCTATTTCCTGATATTCAAGGAAAATGTCATTTATTTCCAGGAGTGATCCCCAAAAAGAGTGGAACCAGCAACCGTCCCGTCCCGATGTTCCATTCCAAGCTGTCGACATTTGTGCGGCTGAAGAGAGGAAACCGTTTTCAGAAGACATCTGTTTGGAAGGTGGAGGCTGACAATTGGAACTTGAGAATGTGAGGAACCCTTCTGAGGAGATGAAGATGTTTTCTTCTTTCTTTTTAAGCCAATCACACTTTAGTATGTGCAATGTATTGAGCACTTTTCCCCTACCACCTTTGCTTCCATAGGAAACACTACATTGAGTTTATAGTACGCTGCTGTGTCATAGTCAATGCCAAAGATCGGGTGGGAGTTCCTCCATAGTTGCCCCTAAGCAGAGACATGGAGGAGGACGCCTTCTGCATGCATCTGAATCCAAATGGGAAGGATACTGGTTACTTTCATTGGAATGCCATTAAAATGATGAATAAAGATGCCCATCCCATTGAAGGCAATACAAGACAGATATGAAACCAAAATGGAACACACAATGGATGTTTACTTTGTTTCCTTATACAAAAGTTGGCTTTGGACTGGGGCACTTGTTTCTCATTTTTGCCTTAAATATTGCCATCCGGAAGTAGGACACTCTGGTCCCCATTCTTTCCTTAAATAGTGTTGCTGTTTGTCACAAATCAAAACCGAAAGGTTTTTCTATATGCCATGACTGTGGAACTATCTGAAGCACTGAGATGAAAATCTGAACCGGAATACAGCCAAGATATAGAAGCATTTCTCCCCGATTCCCTTTTGGCAAGTTTATTATTCTTTGGCAAGAAGCAGGGTTTTTCCCTACTCACGTGCATAGGGGGTCAAAATAGTGACAAATGCGAACTGCTACACAATAAGCTTTTTTTTTAACAGTTTTTAAATTTTACCTTTTAATCCAATAGATGTGTGTGTGTGTGTGTGTGTGTAAGAAGAGGAAGAGAATAGCCCATACATAAAGTAGCAGGACTATTCCAAAACTGTTTGCCAAGTTACATTTTGGAATCTGGATATATCTTGCAAACCCATGTAATGCAAAGGCATTTGATCTATATTGTATCTTTCACTTCAAATTGAAGTAAAAAAAGGTATGGCGAAACTCAGTTGGAGTAAGCTGGCTTCATAAATAACGCATGTCATCTGTGCAACATCTGCTAGTAATGAAGTATCTAACTTAGTGTTACAGTGAAGAAATAGGGGCTTTTGAAGAAAAGAGGTTTCCAAATTTCAGTCAAAATGCAAGTATAAATTAGCTGTACATTTGGCTTTTCTGTTATGTAAGCATAAGATAGCTATATTCATGTTTGATTTACATAAGTGTAATGTTAAAAATGTGCCTGACTGATCAATAGACATCACAAATCATGTTTGTGTGTGTGTATGTCAGGAGAGACTTGAGAAACTGCAAGTCACTTCTGGTGTGAGAGAATTGGCTGCCTGCAAGGACGTTGCCCAGGGGATGCCCAGATGTTTGATGTTTTTACCATCCTGTGGGAGGCTTCTCTCATGTCCCCATATGGGGAGCTGGAGCTGACAGAGGGAGCTCACCCGCTCTCTCTGGATTCACACCGCCAACCTGTTGGTCAGCAGTCCTGCACATTGCACCATCGGGGGCTCCATCACAAATCAGTAATACTTATCCTATGTGTTAGAAGCGGGTTGTAACCATATACAAAGCTCGGGAGGTAACCTTAAGAAGCAGTTAGTTCTCAACCTTCCTAATGCCGTGACCCCTAAATATAGTTTCTCATGTTGTGTTGACCTCCAGACATAAAATTATTTTCATTGCTACTTCATAACAGTAATTTTGCTACTGTTATGAATCGTCATGTAAATATCCAATATGCAGGATGTACCAAATTTGGCACAAATACCCAATACGCCCAAATTTGAATACTGATGAGGTTGGGAGGGATTGATTTTGTCATTTGGAAGTTGTAGTTGCTGGGATTTATAGTTCACCTACAATCAAAGAACATTCTGAACTCCACCAACAATAGACTTGGGCCAGACGTCCCACACAGAACCCCCATGACCAACAGAAAATACTGTGTTTTCAGATGGTCTTTGGTGACCGCTCTGACACCCCCTTGCAACCTCCCCCCCCAGGGGTCCCAACACCCAGGTTGAGAAACCCTGAGTTAGAGGCTATCTAAAGATCTCTACTGGCAAGTTTCAATAGACAAACCCTCCTCTGCTCTACACTTCTTGGAAACTAATTCTGGAGTTTTCCAGGCCTCCAAAAGTGGATTCAGAGGGGGATATGGCATTGTCATGGAGCAGGGGAATCACGCATATCCAGCTCAGTTAGATCCCATCTAAAGTCTATCATTTCTGAGCTTCCCCCATCTAATTATTTATCGTTATAGATATATTTTTAAAAGTTACTTTCCCTTTTATTTCATAAGAGTAACTAGTTATTTTTCAAAACACCGCCTCACAGCAAAAGCTGCTGTCTTCCAGCATTGTACTTCCTATTGCTTCAGTATGCGTAATAATACACGAAGCAGCAGAACGAGCCTGCCCGTGAATCCTGTGAAATTCCTCTTCCAACATTTAATGAGGCTACACTTCATTACCACAGAAAGCCAGGGAAGTCACTCCTTGTGTTCTTCAAAAATGTATTCCTCATTAAGTTATCATCATAATGTAATAGCACTGAATGTTTATTATTGAGAGAACAAGGAGGTGCAATGAGTTAAACCCTTGTGCCAGCAGGACTGCTGACCAAAAGGTCAGTGGTTCGAATCCGGGGAGTGGAGTGAGCTCTCATCTGTCAGCTCCAGCTTCTCATGTGGGGAAATGAGAGAAGCCTCCCACAGGATGGTAAAACATCCAGGTGTCCTCTGGGCAATGTCCTTGCAGACAGCCAATTCTCTCACAGCAGAAGTGTTTGCCATTTCTCAAGCTGCTTTTGACATGGAAAAAAATTGAGAGAACAGTTCCTTTGAAGTGCTGACCATATATCATTTAAACTCTAAGTAAAAATCTAGGGAATTCAGCTACCATTTCCCCCACTTTTGTTACACTGAGGAACTGGCTTCATTTCAAGCATGGGAAGCGTCAACCAGACCTCCGTTCAGTATTTGGAGATTCTTTAGTAAAGGCTGCATTAACTCCCCTGTCCCGTTCTGGAATCAAAATTAGATTCATAGGAGGCCTAGCTTAGTGATAGCCACTCAATGCGAGTCCCCTTTCTAAGAAAGTTTAACCTTTCCTAAAAGTTTTTGTATTAATGAAGGTGTCGAGTGGCGGATCCCGTGGCATTCTGTGTATAACAGCACCCTCTGGGGACAACCATGGAAAAAGTTGTGTGTGCTCTTTGCTTTCTGTGTAAGAAAGCGTCTCTTTACAACACATACAATATAAAATGGACAAATGGTTAGAGAAAATATACTCAGACATTTATGTGTTATTTTGTCACTGTGAACTAAATAAAAAAGCTTTACATTGGCAGGTTGTAATAGGGTAAAAACATAGCCTGCTTTGTTGTCTCCCTTGACTGAATCTGTTCACTACACAAGCTGTTCTTGCACAAGCTTTCTGAAATCAAACTGGCTCAAGGCTATCTGTTCCAATCCAAGTTGCACAACCAGTCACAAGCTGACTTTTGCTACATCCCTCATTTTGCATTGTTTTCACACAACTGCCATCATGTACATGATTCTTTCTGTTAACTGCTACAGATATGAGGGTTGAATGAAAAGTAATGCCTCCACCTTTGTAACTCCTCAACAGATGGCAGTACTGGTACTGGCTTGTTCAATAGATGCAGCAGGTACTGGCTTGTTCAATAGACTCTCCTCTACAGTTCCATTTTGGCAGGAAGCCTTAGCATTGAATGTTTGTGCTGTTAAAGTGCAAAGTATGGAAGCCTGCACATGTAGTCGGTCAATGCGACTTAAGCAACATGCAGTCATTGAATTCTTGACAGCAGAAGGTGTCACCCCAAAGGAGATTTATCAGGGTATGCAAGCAGTTTATGGTGATTGTGTTGATGTGAGTACTGTGCATCATTGGGCAAGTAAGTTTAAAGATATTGAGGTGGGAAGATCTGACTTGTGTGACAAACAAAGAGTTGGACATCCTGTGACATCAATCACTGAGTTTCACAAACAAAAGGTTGACAGATTGTTTCAGGATGATTGTTGCATCACTCAGAGAGAAATTTCAAGCATAATCAGCATTTCACAAGAATGTGTGGGTCACATTATTGCTTTGCTTGGCTATGGGAAAATCTGTGCACGATGGGTTGCGGAAACAGAGTGTCAACTTCTGGCAGCTTCAGAAAACTTGTTCATCGTTGGCAAAAATGTATCCAATTGTCTGGTGATTATGTGGAAAAGTGAATAGTGGTAGTTAAAGAGCACATTCAAAGGATTATTTCTGCATTTGATGTATTAAAATATTCCCATCCAAACCCAAGTGACGAAGGTGGAGGCATTACTTTTCATTCAACCCTTGTAAATGAGTTAAGGATATATATTCATCCTTTTATGACTGCAACATCAATTGATAAATTGTGCGAATGATCTGTTGCAGATATTTCTTTCACTCCACTCTGAAACTTGTAGGCTTCTCAACAGAATAAGTTAACTTTATTTATTTATTTATTTATTTATTTAGAGTATTTATATTCCACCAATCTCACCCCACAGGGGACTCGGGGCAAATTACAATGTATATATACATGGCAAACATTCAATGTCAGTTAGACATACAACATATATAGACAGATACAGAGACAATTTAACATTCCAGCTTTCCAGCTTCATGAGGGTAATGCTCGATTACAGCTTGATCCCAGCCACAGGGGGAGCTGCCGCTTCACCGTCCATTTTGACACCAAGTCCTTTGATGGAGTACTTCCTCATTCTTCTGCATGCTGCTGTAAGGTTTTTTTATGGTGTCGTAAATTAGTTAAATTAGCCTCCCCACATAAAGCAGTACCTAAATTTCCTACTTGACAGATGCAACTGTATTTCAGGTTGCATAGGTCAACAGCAAGCTAGACTAATGGCCGGAAGCTCACTCCAACTCGGGCTGGCTTCAAACTCATGACTTCTCAGTCAGTAGTGATTTAATGCAGCTGGCTCTCAGATAGCTGTGCCACAGTCCGGTCCTTAACATATTCAGCTGCTACCCAATAAGTCACATTCATGTCTGAACCTAGGGAATTGACTAAGAGCTTAGGTACTCCACTGAAATGTATCATCCCATCCCAGTCCAGTGAAAATATATACTAGATCTGGAGGGATGATCTATGTTTTGGATTTAAAAATTCACTGTATAAGGCACACATTCTTTTTTTACACATCTATGGATGTGGCAGAAAAAAGAAGAGGTAGGGATGAGGGTCCTGATGTTCTCTTAGGGCCCTTTCCACACAGCTATATAAAATACACATTGAACTGGATATTGACAATTCACTGGCTGATTTTTGGGATCATATAGAAGTCCAGTAACATGCACACCTCAAAGCCAGGCCTAGAAGAGGAGAATGTAGCTGTAGTAAAGGTAAATATTTTCCCCTGACATTACGTCTGGCCATGTCAGACTCTGAGGGTTGGTGCTCATCTCCATTTCTAAGCTGAAGAGCTGGTGTTGTCCGTAGACACCTCCAAGGTCATGTGGATGGCATGACTGCATGGAGCGCTGTTACCTTCCCGTCAGAAATCTATTGATCTACTCCAGTGTTTCTCAGCCTTCCTAATGCCGCAACCCCTTAATACAGTTCCTCAGGATGTGGTGACCCTCAACCATAAAACTATTTTCATTGCTACCTCATAACTATAATTTTGCTACTGTTATGAATTGTAATGTAAATACTGGATATACAGGATGTATTCTCATTTACGGGACCAAATTTGGCACAAATACCTGATACACCCAAATCTGAATACTGGTGGGGTTGGGGGAGATTGATTTTGTCATTTGGGAGTTGTAGTTGCTGGGATTTATAGTTCACCTACAATCAAAGAGCATTCTGAACTCCACCAATGATGGAATTGAACCAAACTTGACACACAACACCCATGATCAACAGAAAATACTGGAAGGTATTGTCGAAGGGTTTCATGGCAGGAATCACTGGGTTGTTGTAGGTTTTTTCGGGCTATATGGCCATGTTCTAGAGGCATTCTTTCCTGATGTTTTGCCTGCATCTATGGCAAGCATCCTCAACATGCTTCTAGAACATGGCCATATAGCCTGAAAAAACCTACAACAACCCAATACTGGAAGGGTTTGGTGGGCATTGACCTTGAGTTCTGGAGTTGTAGTTCCCCTACATCCAAAGAGCACTGTGGATTCAAACAATAATGGCTCTGGACCAAACTTGCCATGAATACTCAATATGCCCAAATGTGAACACTGGTGGAGTTTGGGGAAAATAGACCTTTACTTTTGGGAGTTTTAGTTGCTGGGATTTATAGTTCACCTACAATCAAAGAGAATTCTGAACCCCACCAATGACAGAATTGGGCCAAACTTCCCACATGGGAACTCCATGGCCAACAGACAACACTGTGTTTTCCGGTGGTCTTTGGCGACCCCTCTGACACCCTCTCATGATGCCCCCAGGGGTCCCGACCCCCCAGGTTGAGAAACATCGATCTACTCGCATTTGCATGTTTTCAAACTGCTAGGTTGATGGAAGCTGGGGCTAACAGCAGGAGCTCACCCTGCTCCCTGGATTCAAACCTGCAACATTTCAATCAGCAAGTTCAGTAGCTCAGTGGTTTAACCCACTGCACCACTGGGGCAGCTGTAGCTGTGGAGCAACATAATTCTTCCCTGAGGACTTCAATCATGCATTTAAAAGATAAAGAAATGTTCTGACAGTATTACAGAGAGACCTTGAAACTGAGATGGGTTAAGAGGTGCATATAAAATGATTGTCATCCACCTTCATGATGGAAAATTTTGAACCTCTTATAAAATGATGGTCCTTTATGGCAGGAATGTTCCTCGATAGTTCTTGATCGCGTTAATCAAGTACAGTAGTTGCATGAGAAAAAAGTCAAACCAAGACAAGGCACAGGTTTATCATTAAGTAAAACTTTAATTTATTCAAAGAATATCAGAATGCTGCCAAGATGAAAGGTTTCAAAAGGAAGGAAGTTTTGTATTTCAGTTTTTCCTCCACCAGATGGAACATTCCATTAATACAGTGGAAGATGAGAGTTCGTCTTTGCATGACGACCCTCCATATGTCTTCTCAACTTCAAAGTAGTTGTCTTTGGGAGGAAGATGAGATGAGAATGGAGGATGGGTGGGCCAGGCATTTCTCTCTTCATATGTCATTAAGTAATTTTTGTATAGATATAGAAGTAATACTTAAATAGCAGGAAAAGAGATTTAAAGATGGGCTCAAAGCCAATCTTAAAAACTCTGGCATAGACACTGAGAACTGGGAAGCCCTGGCCCTTGAGCGCTCCAACTGGAGGTCTGCTGCAACCAGCAGTGCTGTATACTGGGTTATGCCAGAGCCTTTGCAGTATGATAATGGCTGAGTTTTTCCTGTTGTTTTTCCTCAATTCGGCTGTCACCTCTTATGATGACATCAATTATTATTATTATTATTATTATTATTATTATTATTATTATTATTTATATCCCACTTTTCTCCCTCAGGGGACCCAAAGTGGCTTACAACACATTAAAATCACATAAACAACAATCCAAATACATTGATAATAACTCTAAAACATCATAAAATAACAATTTAAAACAATAATATACATTCATATTCTTCTGGCATAATAATAATACACTTTATTTATATTCCGCCCTTCTCCCCTAGGGACTCAGAGTGGATTACAGCATTTACATGCATGGGAAAACATTCAGTGCCTTTTATCATCATATACAACGGGACACACAAACACAAACAAAGGCAGAGGCATCTCCTTTCATTTCTGGCTTCTGGAGGTGATGCTCATCTCTGGCTCCGGAGAGGCACTTTCTCCATTTTCAAGTGTTGTCACCTCCTGGTTGTGTGGCCAGCAAAATTGCTTGCAGTGTCACTTTGCCTTCCCCTGCCAGAGCAGTACCTATTTATCTACTCACTTTTGCAGGTTTTTGAAGTGCTAGGTTGGCAGGAGCTGGACCTGACAGATGGGAGTTCACCCTATCTCACAGATTTGAACTGCCAACCTTCAAGTCAGCAGTTCAGCCAACCTTCAGATCAGCAGCTCAGCAGCACAAGGGTGTAACCCATCGAGTTTACTGGAAAGGAATCTGGCCCTTTCCAGTAAATTCAAACAAAAGCAAACTGCTGCAGCCTTTTCTAGCTTTCTGTTCTCCTTTATTAAAAGCATTGACTATCCTGACTGCACGCTGATGCTATCAGCCATAAGTGTCCCAGTTTTCATCTGTGAAACATATGGATCCTGGGGGTTGTTGTCCAAAAAAGCAACATTTCCAGGTTCTGGGAGTCACAACTTTCGGTGTTAATCCGCAGACTAATTCCAT